TATATATATATATATATATATATATATAATTTAGTATAATAGATTAAAAGTAAAATTATGTCAGTATTACTGAGATTGATATAATATACATTACCTGAACAATACAAGTTTTATAAAAAAAACAAGTACAAAGGTTAATCATAGTTTATAAGAATAATTTGCATATGAAATGTCTAGTATCTAGTTATTTTGTTCATGACAAATTCCCACCCATTCAATAATGTTGCTAGGCTAGGTGGACTATTGGAAGAGGGAATATTTTTCGGAAGAGTAAATTAGAAGTTAAAATTAACTACTAATGAGAGCAAGCTGTATACTTATAGTCAAAATGAAAATCAACCTGACAGTTAGTATAGCTAATTATATATACTTCTGTTCCTTCTCTTCTTATACAGATTAGAATGTGTTGTTTCATCTTTTCGGTACACTTGCTGTTTACATTATTTATCAGTACTACATATTCTTTAAACACTGTATAAATATGTGTTACTGGATGTAACAACCTGTACTCTTCAGTATGTTTTTAAGTTTTATCCATTGTAGTATGTTTTGCTGAAACTTAGAAAATATTATCATTCACCTTTATGATAAAATCTGTGTTTAGTGTGATATTTCTGTAAACACCACAAACTTGGTTAATCAAATGAGCTTCCAGCAAAAAGAAGTAATTATTTATGTAAAATTTTTTCAGTTTTTATTGTGTACTGACTTTTTTGTTTAGATTGTGTATTTTAAAAAGTTAATGTTCACTATATTTCAAATTAGAAACACAAAATCATAAATTGTAAGGCCAGTAACAAGATAAACTTAATATCTGACTTGGTGTGATGGACTAAATCTTAACAATCAGTAAGTTTTGTTAAGAGTATACACACTAGACCTGTTCTTAAACCTCGTATTGTTTTAAGCTAACCCTAATTATTAATAAACATCACATATCACATTACTTTGCAGTCTAACCTGTTGAAAGTCTTGTACAAACATATAAACATAAATTTTTATTTGATCAAGACGAGTGTAATTCACCCCAAGTATTAATGAGATTATTGTTTTATCATCAGAGTTTGTCAGCATGAAATAGTACAATGTGCTTAACTGAAAAAACAGTTAACACTAAATGCCGTGTCATGTTAAATATGTTTTGTTTAATTTTCATGAGTTAACTGTCATGCTACTTATAATAATTAAGTTTAATATAATACTTCTAAGTTGCAGGGTGCCATATCACTACTTGAGCAGTAATCCTACTGTTTTAGGCTATATTTTTGATTTGGGTGTTTGTATTATTATTTGGCCAGAAGGAGGTTTGACAGGTTTGTCTGTAATTTTCTCAGAGTTGTGGAACAGCTGAACAATATTAGATGAAAGTTAGACTAGAGTAGATTATTATTGATTTTTGAGTTTAAAGTAGTGAGATATTATTTGGTTGAGTTTGTTAGTCATTTCAATTTCAGGATATTAACTGCGTGATCTAGCTGAAGTGATAAGGTATATGCCTCAAAATATGAGTATTTCACAAGTCAAATTATTGTATTAGGGTCTACTATCAACTTGGACCTGTCAGCAAACATTAATTAATCTAACTTACAGAATATATATATTCAGAGAAATAAAACATTTTTGTTATCTTTAAAATGACTGGATTTTGCATTTCTTCTTTTTTACCATATAATTTAAACGAACCATTTGAACAGTAGAAACTTTTACATAATAACATTACTAGTGTGAACCATTTAAATCAGTATATATCTATTGTTTCTAGAATGTCCACAAAAAACTTACATTATGCAAACATTATGTTTTTTAAGGTAAATTGTAGTTAATCCTCTTACATTAATGTGTAGGTTGATTATTAATGGAGGTTCAAATGGAGGATTACTGGTTGGGGCCTGTACAAATCAACGTCCTGACTTGTTTGGTTGTGTTATCTGTCAAGTTGGGTATGTTTCTTCACTGTTTTGTTTTATTTCATGTTGCTGTAAAACTGAATATTTCTGGTGTCTTTATTTATAGTAAAAGTGTTGAAAAGTTTCAAGCACTTATTTTACAGAAGAACTAATCAAGCCAACTACACAAAAAAGCATAACTTGAAAGCAAAGAAGTTATTACTTTCAAAATATTTTGGATAATAATACGGATATTATAATGATAAAAACCAACAACAAGTCTTTCAGGGCCAATTAAATTTTTACTGTGTGGTATTCTAAGGGTAACTGATTTCTGCAAAGGTCCTCTTTATAATAGGAGGATCAGCAGGATATGTTACAAAGTATATCTGAAGTTGACTAAACTGACTGAGTTTTTAATCTAAAAAAATAATAAAACTGGGTATGATGTGGAATACAAAATTAAATCTTTATTATTGTCTAAAAATGAAGCACAGTGTGCATGCTTGCATTGGACACTGAATGTTTGCCTGGTGAATTGATCAACTAGAAGTACAGCATTATTTCCATGAGCAGAGCAGGTATTATCTTTAGAGAACAACAAAGGAACAAAGGTAGCTAGAATGAAGCCAGCTTAACAGTTTTCTGTACTTTGTGCTTAAAGTATAAACTACATTGACTTAGATTAAACAAAAAATTTAGAAAATATTCTGCATTAATATAAGAAAGTAGAAAATGCATACCACACCTGATAAGACTAGTAAATTATATTCTTGGAGTAGTTAAAAGAGCTATTTTAAACGATTATGTACTAAGATATCAAACACAATTACATGGCCAATGTGATATATGTATATATCTCTATTAATTTACTCAGTTAATGTATATGTGATGTGTGGATAAAATAAATAATCTAATATTGAATTTTTAATTGTTTTCATTGTGAAATGCTGGAGCAAAATGTTTTCATGTCAGTGAATAATTTGACCTAAAATTAAAGAAAAAAGTGGGAGTGTATAATGTGCTTTGTTTTTGTTAATGAAAGGGTTTAATGCATATTTTTTACTTGTTGTAAAAGAGTATTTCATATGCAGTCATTTTTTAAACTATTTATTTTTTTGATGACTATGAGCAGTGTTATGGACATGTTGAGGTACCACAAGTTTACTATAGGCCATGCATGGAGAACCGAGTTTGGAAGTGCAGAAAACAGAGAACAGTTCCATTACATTTACAAGTAAGTAATATTATATTTTCAGTGTTTGTGTATGGTAAGTGTACAGGCTGCATATTTTGCAAACTTGCTTGGAAATGTACATTTGTGTCTGGAAACTTAAGTTTGAGCTTACTGATACCAACAGAAATGTAGGCTTACACATTTTAAGATCCATTAAGTTATTTGTTAGTATTCAAGAAACATGTTGCAGGTCTATTATAAGTATCAATTCAATATTAAGAAAAAAGAATGTTCATTACTGTAAGTAATAATTTTGTTAAGAACTTTTATATTTTTAATATGAAAAGAGAGAATGCTTTTAGAGAATCATGAGCTTTGTAGTAAATGTGAGACAAAACATAGATCCCATTTTGTAGTAGTTTTCATTCACAGCATTCATAATGTTATAATAAAATTTAGTTGAAACTAGACAACCCGTGACCCATTGGATCACCCACTATTCAGAGTTTATGAAGAATTCAAGCTAATTTCAATCTTGCACCAAAATGAAGGTTTATTTGGAGATAATTTAATTAAATATTTCAATTCCTTCATGTTATTCATAATTCAAGAAAAGATATTTGATTGTTGATTGGAAGTAAAGACTATTTCATTTTTCAAAAAAGTGAAGTCAGAGTTTTCAGGTATTGTGATGAATTAGTTCATCTAATTCATTGTCCTATTTGAATAATTTTTTTATCATCATTTTTAACTATGTGCCTTCTCATCCCTCATTTTCGTTAGTGTAGGACTTAATTAAGTGTTCTTTGACATCTAGGTTAATGTAGTGGAATTGTAAGTTATATATTGATTATTACTTTGTTTTCTTGGTAATATTTGTTGGTTTGCACATTCGTTGTTATTATGTACATTGTGGACTAGGTAAATTTAGAAGATTTGTCAGTTCAGTATTCATAAGTACTTTGTTAACTAGGTATGTTTAGATAGTTTGTACCTTACATATCATCACTACTAGTAACATATAATTCATTGTTCTGTTTGGGTAATTTTTTTTTCGTCTTTGTTAACTATGTGCCTTAATCCTAATATTTCACAGTGTAGGACTAACTTATGTCCTTTGTCGTCTAGGTTAATTTTGATGACTGGTGACTTAGATATTGATTATTAATTTTAGTCAGTTATTATGACATTCTTTGTGGACAAATTAATTTAAATGGTTTGTCCATTTGATATTTATCAGTTCTTTGTTAACGGGGTACATTTTGATAGTTTATATGTAACATATCTTTACTGCTAGTAATATATAATTTGCTGTTTTATCTGAATATTTTTTTTTTGTAAGTGTTAAATGTATGCCTTATCATACTAATTTTACATCAGTTTGGGATTGAAAATTTTTGCTTTGTTAAATCTCTGATGTGTTTGTGTCTTTATGGTTTGTAGGAATGAGCTGAGCTTTTGGCTCCTTTTTCTATTTTCTTGGTCCTAGAAACCTCATTTTCTCCTTGTAATCTACAATTCAGTGCTCTTCTCCACAGTACCCACATCATCCATATTTATTTATTGCTCTGAGTCAGGTTTTCCAATTCAGGGCCCTACTATTCAGACTAACCTTGGCTCTTTAAGTGTATTGTTGGGGAGTACAAACTCTTGCCCAACATATTCACTCAGTGAATTTTTGCAATCTTTTTCTTCTAAGGATTGCTGGTCCTGCTTGCTTCCTCCTATTAACAGTCCATAGACCACACTCCTCTGCACTTACATGGTGCAGAATGGGTGGGATTCCTGATGACATCTGTTCGTGTACTCATCTTTAGAGGGTTAGAGTACTTATCGCTATTCCTACGTGATTTCTGGTCTCTGGTCGATCACAGAGTCTTCTCTCCATATCACATTTCTCGAGCTTTTGGTAGTTCGTTAAGCTTTGTCTTGTTTCCTTCCTCTCCTACAGGAGATGGTGATAATGGTACATTCCGACTTCTCTACAGAGGTCACTTATATCACTAAGCCAGTCCGTACCAATTCCAAGTCTCTCTGCTTTCGAATCCTGGATCTCCTTTCTGGGCCTACAGTCACCACATTGTGGTCTTTGCTTGAATTTCGATATTTACAATACTCATGTGAGAAGAGAGCGAAGCTAGTGTGGTCCATCTGGACAAAAACAATTCAATTGATGAAGCTACTCCAATATAACTTCATCGACTCATTATAACATCCCTACTTACATTTCCCCTGGATGTTTTTGTCCAGATGGACCACACTAGCCAATATAACTTCATCGACTCATTATAACATCCCTACTTACATTTCCCCTGGATGTTTTTGTCCAGATGGACCACACTAGCCAATATATCTTCTTCACTTATTAATACAAAAAACGTCTACTTGAGTTTCCCCTGGATGTTTTTGCCCAGGTGGACCTCACTAGACAAAATAACTTCATCTTTTATCTGTGTTTCTCCTGGATGTTTTTGCCCAGGTGGACTGCATCAGTCAATATAACTTAATCTATTGATAAATACAAATAAAACCTTACTTCAGTTTCCCCTGGTTGTTTTTGCCCAGGTGGACCTCACTAGATGAAATACCTTATTCAATTGATAACAACAACCACCTTACTTGTATTTCCTCTGGATGTTTTTTGACCGGGTGGGCCACATTTGAAAAAATAATCAATTGATGTCATCTTGAATAGATCGTATGTTCCTCATGCCATAGCTACTTGTTGTTATTTCATTTTTTAAAACAGGTACAATATCAGGCACAATCCTGTGACAAACGAAATGTGTGTTTTTCAAAACATATAGCAATACCATCACTTGTCCAGTGCTGTACGAATTCTTACCACATTCAATTGTGCCAGTATTTTCACTTCCACCCATTTTGTGTTACTCTCCTATTATCTGGGTAAAGAGCATTCCTGTTCCAGCAGTAGTGCAGTACCCCACAGGTGTGCTTCTTTTTAATCTCGTAGCACACCCATTCATTCTGGGCAGTCGTTCTTTGCTTGGTTTGACATTTGTGTGCCTACACTGGCCCCTCCACCTTTGCAGTTTGGGGTTCTAGCTTTGTGTGAGAGGAAGAGGTAAGACAGTTTTGGATGTTAACGTTTTCTTACACTGACAATTTATTTCCAATAGGTACTTACCTCTTCTCACACACTTCCCACCCTTCCTCCCCACTGCTGATGTTTTTATGTTAATACCTGCCAATTGTCAAAAGTAAGGATTGAGTGAGAATAGCAGAGGGACCTAGCTGTGCCAGTATTGATGGTGCAATGCTATTGGTGGAGAGTAGTCACATTATATATATTTATATATGTTCTGAAATGGCACAAAACTTATGGGGGTATAAAGATTGGTGTGCTGATTGCAACAAATTGTTTTAGCAATGCTTAGAGGGCCAACTAGGATCGAGATATCTTTGTGTGAGGGAGGAAAATACCTAACCAAAATACATTTTCAGTGTAAGAAAATGTTAACCATTACTGCTTTGGTCAATTTTGGCCCTTAACTTAATAACATCTGATGAGGTTCGGTTTCCTTAGTGATATTACCAAGCATTAAAGCAGAATTAACACAAACCAAACAGAAGACAGGAACAG